TTCATGTGAACCTACCTGTTTTCATGACTTTGAACCTCTTCCTTGCAAAACAACGACCCAGCTAAAGGTAGATATACCTCCTTTTTGGACTGGCTTTCATGACAAGCCACCATATTAGCTGGAAACATCTCTGGTTGAGCCATCTGCTCAAATGTCAGCTCCAACAGGATAGGGGTTCTTGCTATTTCATTCACCGCACACAGAGGGCTGCGAGGAAACAGATTTTTAAACGCAGAGCATCGTCCCTTAAATTTCATCTTTGATCACGGAGTGGGGAGGAGGCAGAAACTATAAATGCATCATAGCCCCTCAGTTCTCTCGAGTGAAAAAAATGTGTTAACTCCCAGAGACATGCTAGAACCTAGTTGAGGCACCTCGGAGTTTGATCCTATAATAGGCTGCCGGTGTGAATGGAACCTTTAGAGAAATGACAGCAAAGTTTAAGAGGGTTAGTCGGTAGACTTTCAGATACTGTCAGGCTCATCTTTAGATTTTGCCACATACTGTCAGTTCTTTAGACATCACTCTTCATGGGTTCGCAAAAACAAACAAACGAAAAAACAGATTAGCACATTTTCCCCCCGCTGTGTGCAAGCTGGGTGGAGAGGGCAGAGCTGTGTGGTTGGCGAAGATTGGAACAGCACGCTCCAGCACCTGGGAGGGCGGGCCAGAGGTTGTGGAATCAGTGCGAGCAGAAACCGCTTCAAATGCACAGGTGGCAGGCGGATGGAACATCTCGCTGCATGTTGGTTCCCAAATCTGAATGTATCTTTTCATTTCAAATGTCTCTATCAGATACCAAATGTTACAGGAACTGTAGGGGAATGAATTAAAAGTAGAAACAATATTTCGTTCTTTGTCATTTGAGAGAAACGATGAATATTTCAAAACCATTTGGTAGAAAGCAGGGGGCGATGTCTCCCTTTCCCTCCCCCAGTGGCTAAGGCAGTGTTCCTGTTTCCTTTTTCCTTTTTTTAAATGTTAAATTGTATTTATTTATTTATTTAATAAAAAAAATTTTCTTTATTGAGATATAGTTGATTTACAAAGTTAGTTTCAGGTGTACAGCAAAGTGATTGAGTTATAATGCAGTGTTTCTTAAAAGTGGGTTCCATGGTCCTCCAGCCTCAAGGGACTTTAATGGAAACATCTCTGGCTGCAACTTGAGTAAAGGTCTTGTGTTACTTGAATAAAGGGTTCTGTGGTCATAAATATGGGAATCTTTGTGTTAAGTAAAGTTAAAGAGGTTTCTCTATTGCAGTTCTTGTAAGAAGCATTAATATGCCAATATTATGATGAATCAGAGAGAAGCACAGAGCACTTCCCAGCAGATTTGACCAAAGAATTATTTTTCCCCCTCCTTCTCCTTTTTTGAAAGGAGCATCCCACGGGACCACCATTCCAACCAACATGCTTTGGGGAATCATTTAAAACCTTCTCTTTGGAAGAGAAGAACAATTTTGGAAAAAAAAACAAAACCAAAACTTAGCTCATGTCTCTTCAGACAACGCATTTCCTTTGCTTTGTCAGAACAACAGTATAAAATTAATTTTATTTCCAAGGACTGTAATGCCACATTACTAAATTTAAATTCACTTTTTTTCCCAAAGAGGGTTTTAAAAAACACATTTCGGAACTACTACTTAATGTGAAACAAATCTCTGCATGGAGCAATGGCCAAATATGTACAAGAATTTTATACAGGATGCAAATGTGATTTCAGAATTTCCATTTTGCCACAATTATTTTACCCAAAGTTCACCATACCCTGTGGTTCCTAAGACGCAACAGATCTTGGGTGGTTTCCCTTTAGCATGGCTGTGACAAAGGAAGCCCTTTCCCTGAACAGCTATTTTGCTTGCTTTGCTTTTACCAATCTCTACAGCTGGTCCACAGCCTTGTTGCCTAAAATGAACTGACCTAGACACTAGGGTCAGTGGCCTGGGCTATTGGCTGAGGAGTGGGGACCAAGTGGCCAAGGTGCGGGAGAAGTTGGCTGCATTGGCTGAAAGGCTGGTCATGTTTTACTAGACTAATCTGAGTTTACCTGGGTGTGGTTTATCATATTACACATGCTGAACTTTAATTGTAACTCTGCTGCGATTATGGATGGAGGTGTCATGTTGGCTCCATGGCTGCACCAAAATAGTGGAAATTCAAAGATTCTTGATGAAAGGAGTGGCAAAGTCATGTTGTAAAGGGGCCTGGGGGATGGAGATGGTTGTGAGTTTCTTTTGAAACAATCTGCCATAGGGTGGTCAAATACAGTGCCCACCAGGGTTGGGCGGGAAACGTAGGGTCCCCCTCTAAGGAAGGGGGGCTACGCAACTTGAGATGACTGTTACATGAGGAGATTCAGGCCTGATGGTGTCAGGTCTTCTGATTGTTCAAGAGGAGATGGAAATCCAGATTTTTATATAAATTCTACTTATTTGTTTTTACATTTTTTATTGAAGTATAGTTGATTTACAATATTGGTTTCAGGTGTACAGCAAAGTGATTCAGTTATACATATGCATACATATATATTTGCTTTTCAGATTATTTTCCATTGTATGTTATTACAAGAAATTGAATATAGTTCCCTGTGTTACACAGTAGGTCCTTGTTGTCCATCTATTTTATACACAGAAATGTATGCCTGTTAATCCTCAACCCCTAATTTATCCCTGCCTTTGGTAACCATAGTTTATTTTCTATGTCCATGAATCTGTTTTTGGCTTGTAAATAGAATTTGTATCCTTTTTTTTAGAGTCCATGTATAAGTGATATCATATGATATTTGTCTTCCTCTGTCTGATTTCATTCGATATGATAATCTCTAGGTCCATCCATGTTGCTGCAAATGGCATTATTTTATTCTTTTTTTATGGCTAATATTCCATTGTATTTATACACCACATCTTCTTTATCCAGTCGTCTGTTGATGGACATTTAGGCTGTTTCCATGTCTTGGCTACTGTAAATAGTGCTGCTATGAACATTGGGGTGCACATGCCTTTTCGAATTAGAGTTTTCTCCAGATATATACCCAGGAGTGGGATTGCTGGATCATATGGTATAAATTCTACTGATTTTTAAATGTAGGCTCTATTAAAAAATAGTGTGAGCCAATCCCAACTTCCATCTGTGGTGAAAGCTGGCCCACGGGCTGCCAGTTTGTGACTGCTAGTGATTGACAGTCTCTATCTCCAGCTTGAATTCTTTCCTGAGCACCAGAGCCACATACAGAGCTGCCTCCTAGATGCCCTGACACCTGGAGGTCCCAAGGCATCTCAGTTTCCACTTGTCCAAAATTGAACTTGTCATCTCCTCCATGTCTGTTCACCCTGGGTTCCTGTTCTCAGGGATGATACAGCAAGCATCCAATCACCCAGGCCACCTTGGGAGTCCTCCTAGGTGCTCCCGCCTTCTGTCACCACTTGCAGTTCATCACAACTTACTTTCTGGTTCTAGTTACTAACTATCTCTAGCATCCTTGTCCTCCTCTCCATTTCCTTGCCACTGTCTTCAGGACCTTATCCTCTCTTACCTGGACCATTTCCAGAGCCTCCTAGCTGGTGTCCCTGCCTCCAAATTGTCTTCCTTCCAGTCCTTCCTCTGGAGCTGCACTGATCAATATTGTAGCCACTAGCTACATGGCTAGTATGGCTGTTTAAATTAATTAAAATTAAATAGAATTTAAAAATTCAATTCTTTAGTCTTAGTACCCACATTTCAAGTGCTCAGCAGATACATGTGGCTGGTGGCTTCCATACTGGACAGTGCAGTTACAGAACATTCCCATCACTGGATGCTTTGTGATCACATTACCACCTAAAACCTCCCTGGTTGTCCATTTCTCTCTGGATAAAGTCCAGTCTCCTTAACCTAGTTTACATCTCCTCCCCACCCCTGTCTAGCTGTCCAGCTGCACCTCCCATCTTGTCACCACACCAGCTCCTGCCTGTGACTCGCCTGCCTTCATGGGGCAGCCTGGAGCCCCTTGTTTACCTGCATCACCCCAGGCTTAGTGTTCAAACACTGCTTTTTCTTTTAACATTTAATGATTTTAAAAAACTTTTTATTAGTTTTTAAGGTTTTCTTTTTTCTTTGCGTGTTCTACTTTATTTATTAATGGATTGAACCCAGGAACTCATGCATGCTAAACAAGCATTCTGTGCCACTGAGTTATACCCTCCTCCCCCCCATCGAGCACTGCTCTTGTTTGGGGCTTTGTAGCACCCACCACAGGGCCCCACACCTGCTGGCATCACACACACACTACCCTTAGCACAGCTGGACATAGCGCTTAGCACTCTGGTGACAATTTGTCTCTCTCTCTGTGAGTACAGCTGTGCTTCTTTTCTGTCTGCAATCCCCCCTCCCCGCCAACACACTGGTCTAGCCCAGTAGGTTGCCCAGGGGCCAAGGTTGGGGGTGGGTCTGGAGAGACTGGGGAACACAATCCTGGGAAGCATCCTGGAGTTAGCAGGAGGCTTCCATTTGCAAGGGCGCACCTCACTCCCACGGAGCTGAGCAGTCAAGGGGGGTTCTCAGCTCAGCCAGCTGGACAGTGAAGAGGGAGACTGGCCCCCAGGGCTGGTTTGATGGGGTCTCAGCCTCTCAAGGCCTAGGGGAGTCTGGTCTCTCTTCAGGCAGGTGGGGTGCAGCATCTGCCTGACATAGCGTCCCTGTGTGGCCCAAGTGGGCATAGCAGCTCCCAGGGCTGTAGCTTCCCTCCCCAGGTCCTGGGAGAGAGCAAGGGTGAGAGCGAGGATACAAGTTTGGGAGGCTCTCCTAGGAGGGCAAGGAAACGACTTTCCAAGGAGACCACAGCAAAACTCTCCTCGTCCCGTGTTCCCTTTACCATGTTTCCCCCAACCCAGCCACACCCCTTACTTAGGCAATGGTCGGAGTGAGGGAGGGTCATCTGTCTCAGTTTAAATTCCCTCCTCTAAGATCCCAAGGCACCCTGAAAGTATGCCAGGGGAGTTGAAAGACCCCTCATTTCTTCACAGGGAAGCTCTGAATCAAAGAAAGTAATCCAGGCCAGACCCCTTCTCTTCTGATGCCAGTGGGCCCTGGGGGACCAGGAAGAAATGAAGGATTCTGGACAGAATAATGGGGACCTGATGACCTCTGGAGCATGACAGGTGCCTTGCAAATGTGGAAATGCTCTTCCCGTGAATCTCATTCGTCTGAACTTCTTGTCCCTGGGAGATGTGGATGTTCCTCTAGGCTGGAGCCACCTGGAAGGGACTGGTGGGTGTCTAGCTCCCTCTAGTGGGAGTCCTGAAATGGAATTGAATGGGAAGATTGGCGTCAAGGGAGGTCAGTCGGGACTGCACCTTATGTCCTCCAAGCATTCCCATCACCTCCACGCCCTCCGCAGGACGTGTAGGGGTAGGCAGCGAGGCATAGCCTGTTTTCCCCGCCCCACTGAAGGTGGGGACGCTATTTAGGCTCCAGGTCTGGGACCTGAAACCTAAGGAAGGAAGGCACAGCAGGGAGGCTCTTGGGGGAGATGCTCCATGTTAGGAGGGAGAGGGAAGGAGAGGGAGAGAGGGAAAGACGGAGGGAGGGAGGGACGGGGAGGTGGGGGGACTCTGTGTGGGGAAGTTCCATCCTTGGAAAGGCCCGCGTCTTTAAGTACCACAAGGGAAAGTCCAAGTCAGTTGGAGAGTTAACCATTTTCTCTTAGAAGAGGTAATTCCCTTTTATGCAAAAAGAAAAAGAAATTTGTATATGGAATAAATGGGCCTTTGGGGAATATTAGTGGGAAAGGGAGCCAGCCACCCCATCTCCTTCCACTTCCCAACAGAGAGGACGTCAACCTGCTGAGGCCAGGAAGTCCACTGGGTGATTTACGGCTCTAGAGGTGGCACAACAATGGAAAGAAAAATAAACCAGAGGACACGTGCTGGGAGTGAGAGACCCAACGTTCTGACGGCAGCAGGGGTGTGGAGGGGGGAGACACCAACTCCTGCCGTGTCATCTGCACTGCATACTGTGCACTGGATCTCAGCTTCCACTCGGTCCTCCTTCAGTGTGCCTTTTGCAGTGCGGAGGCTGGAAGGCCAGAAACCACCCTTCTTGGACTCCCTTGCAGCTAGAGTGCATTAGGTGCAGCCAGACAGACGCGCTTGTGTAGGATTTGGAAGGCGGAGGTGCGATGGGGACCGTCTTCCTGCTGCTGTCTTTGCTGAGAGCAAGGTTGTGGGAAGGTGGTGGTTCCACCTGTCTGGTCTCTCTGTCCCAGTGTCCAGTCATGACAGTCCTGGGCACCGGATAGTAGTCATGGTGGTGGCAGTGTCAGCCACAGCAAATCTTTTTTTTTTAGTTCATCAGAGAAGCTTGGAACACACTGATTTTTTATATACTCAACTTTTCTCTTCTTTTTCACACCCTGCTCATGTAGACCTACTAAATATTAACATGCTGTCTTTATTTTTTAATTGAAGTATAGTCAATTTACCTTGTTATGTTAATTTCTAGTGTATGGCATAGTGATTCATTTATACATATATGTATTCCTTTTCATATTCTTTGTCATTATAGGCCATTACAAGGTATTGAATATAGTTCCCTGTGCTATGCAGTAAGATCTTTTTGTTTATCTGTTTTATATATAGCAGTTAGTATCTGCAAATTCAAATTCCCAGTTTATCCCTCTCCACCCCCTTTCCCCCAGGTAACCATAAGTTTCTTTCCTATGTCTGTGAATCTGTCTCTCTTTTATAAATGAATAAGTTCATTTGTAACTTTCCTTTTTAGATTCCATGTATAAGTGGTGTCATATGGTATTTTTCTGTCTGACTTACTTCACTTAGTATGATGATCTCCAGGTCCGTCCACATTGCTGCAAATAACATTATTGTATTCTTTTTTATGGCTGAGTAGTATTCCAGTGTGTGTGTGTGTGTGTGTGTGTGTGTGTGTGTGTACCACAATCTAGTCATCTGTGGATGGGGACACAGTGGTGTGTTGGTATGTCCTTGAACTCAGCAATTCCACTGGAAGCCTCCTGCCTCTCCAGCTGCCACCTGTTCCACCAATGATTTAATAAGCACCTAATTCCCTGAATTCCCCCAGACCCCCTTTTATTAATCCAGATTGGCTTGTTTCTGCAGTGCTGGCACAGTAGGCATACAGAGGAGGCTGGTTTGAATGGAAAACAGAATGTTGAATCAACTCCTAAAACAGACATTTGGCTCTAAAAGAGAGAGGGCCACAGCAGATTAGGGGATAAGAGGTGGGAAGGGACCCTCAGAGCTACAAGGCTGGACGGGAGTCCTGTTCTCAGAAGCCCGTGGGATAGTGGGGGCGGGGGGATAGTCAGAAGCTCGCGGGAGGACCAGCCTCTGACTGAATGGTGGTGATATTGCCATGTTTACCCCCCCGACCTTAGACCTCCCTTCTCTCCTTCCCTCCTTTCCCAGGCATCCAGTCAGGATGGACTTTTAGGGAAACACAATGGCCCAGGTGCTCCCTCCTCCTCTCTTAGCTACTGCTGCTCTCTGGAAAGATCTGGTGAGCCCATCCATGGACACTAAAGCAGAAGTGTCAAGTCTAGAGTGCAGTGCTGGGGCCAGAGGACTTGTTTTAGGATAAAGTCCCTTCAGGGTCAGAGACTAAATCTCTCCTGGGGAATTTCAGGCATCAGCTGTGGGAAGGGGAGTTTTTTTTCCCCCCAACTTCCATTCTTTCCTTCTTTAAAAAATACGTTTTTATTAAAGTACAGTCAGTTTACAATGTTGTGCCAGTTTCTGGTGTACAGCACAGTGCTTCAGTCACATAAGAACATACATACATTCGTTTTCATGTTCTTCTTCACCCTAGGCTAGTACAGGATATTGACTATAGTTCCCTGTGCTATACAGTACACACTTGTTGTTTATCTGTTTTCTATATATTAGTTAATATCTGCAGATCTCAAACTCCCAATTTATCCCGTCCCCCCCACTTCCCACTCTGGTAACCATAAGTTTGTTTTCTATGTCTATGAGGGGGAGTTAATTTTTGATGTTAAAACACCCTGAAATCATACAGGTAAGCCGTGGAGGAGGTACCCTCAGATGTTATGGGATGTGGCAGTTCAAAACACAGCCCCGAGTTCTTTGACCCTCCTCCCGTTGAAGTGGGATCTGTGTCCCCTCCCCTTTGCTGGGCTTGAGAGCGCTTTGCCAATAGACACAGAGGGCACAAAGCCACTTGCCCTCTAAGGTTAGGTCCTGAAAGCCAGGCAGTGCCGGCCTGGGTCCCTGGGAATGGCGCTTTCCCGATGTCGCTCTCTGGACACTTCCTCTTGGGACCCAGCTAGCATGCTGTGAGAAGCCACGGGGAGAGGCCCGTGTAGATCCTGCAGCCGAGGCCAGCTTTTGAATCATCCAGTCCAGATATGTGAGGAAAGAAGCTGGAGTGATGATGATTCCAGCCCCAGACGTCCTTCTGAGCCGCCCTCCTGGCCACTAGAGTCCTCCCAACCAATGTCCCAGCTTCTGTCCCCAACACACACCATGTCCAAAAGCCCTGACCCATGGACTCTGCTAATGCAATAAACTGGATGCTGTTTATGCTACTAAGTCGGAAGTGGTTTGAAACATTGCAGCAGCTAACGGTAGCCTGGGGTCACTGCCCATGCAAAGGCCCTTCTTCCAGGGGTCCCTGCCGCGTCCCACACTCAGTGTTGTTGAGGGAACAAGGGCCCAGTAGCGCTGCAAAGCCCAGATGCACGTTGTGAGACCTGCTGACTGTCACCACTGTCACCCAGATCTGGGGGTCAGAGCTCAGACCCCAGGGAGCTAACCAAGGCATCTGGCACAGACACGGGTCTCTCCTGCTAAAGGAATAGTCGGTCTGCATCGGTTCAGTGGTGACAATTCTCATTTCTGTCAGGGGAGCGAGGACTCTGGGGCAGGTAGACCTGGATTTGAGGCGACTCCACCACTTAGTGTCTCTGGGCAGTAAGGGTGCCCATGTGCCCAACGACAGATCAGGTCCCCACTGCGTCTACAGAAGGGGAGAGCAGACACTGGGGGACACAGGAAGTACCTGCCCCACTGGGTGAGGGGCGTGGGCGCTGGCCCCTGCCATCCATCTGCCCACCCTGCCAACCAGCTCAGCTGTTAAGGGCACTGAGCTGGGAGCAGATTCACAGACACAGGAGTGGACTCTGCCCTGGGGACCAAAAGCCAGCGGTGGGTGTTTCAGGCATGGCTTTGAAGGGCTGAGCCATCCATCCAGGCTGGGTCTCTGAGTTCTGCCCCTGTCATGGGAGAGTCTGTCCTTGGACCACCCTGGTCTCTCTCCTGGAGGACCCTCCCTGAGTGTCCTCAGTGTCCTTGACGTTGGCCAACAGTCACATTAAATATGCTTTCCTTTTGCTGCAAAAATGGTTTTTCGGGACATAGTCAGTCATATCACTCAGCGTTCCCTATACCAAGGGCCATGTGAGCAATTTTCACTAGAGTTTATTATAAGGGAAAAAGTCTGTTCCCATGAGAAAAGTGTCTGCTTCCTGCAGATAGTAACAGGTCAGAGTTCCTCTTCCACCCTGGCGGCCTTGAGGCTTAATCACAGCCTCTGTGGTGGCTCGGCCAGCATTTTACAATCTCTGTTTCCTGTGAACCCAGCATTTTAGTCCTCTGTGTTGCTCTGACTGTTACGTCTTTAATACATGCTGCCTCCCATGTTCTCTCTAGAAAGAAGCAGGCTCTTATTAAAGGTAAAATAGAAGACAAGGGCCCCTTTTCTTACCTTGGGAGGAAAACAAAACTGGAGGCCATGAAGGGTCATCCATTGCTGTACTTGAGTGTCAGTGTTGACTCGAGTTTCCCCGCAGCTGGGGCAGAAAGGGGTGGTTACAAGGCTGTCTTCAGAAGGAAGGAAGTGGAGCAATGTTTTGAGAGAAGCAAAGCAGGGTGCCCTTAGCCCTGATGGGAGGGGCCCCTGCAATGATCCAGGGCTCTGGTGGGAACCTTGGCACTGATCTCAGATCCACCACTCAGAAGCTGTGTGACCTTGGACAAGTCACTTAACCTCTCTGTGCATCATCATCATCATAATAATGGATGGCTTGTGGCTGCATCACTTCAATCTCTGCTTCCACTTCCACACTGCCTACTCCTTCTCCTTTTCTATATCTGATCATGCCTCCTTTTCTGTATCTGAACAGAACACTTGCCCTTGAGTTTAGGGTCCACCTGGATAATCCAGGATGGTCTTACTTCAAGATCCTTAACTTAATCTTATTTGCAAAGACACTTTTGCCAAACAAGGTCAGATTCACAGGTTCTGGGGTGTGAGCATAATTTTGAGGGCTACCACTCAATCCACTAGAAAGACTAAAGTTTTCGATCTAATCAATGTGTCTCTTTAACGGTGAGACCAGTCCTGAGTGAGTAGATGGGTTGGGGGATTTCTTTTTTGGGTGGGAGGAGAGGGCTCTATGGCTCCTAAAAGCTCTACCTTGTAGAGGCAGCTTTCCTATGGAGCCCCTCCTGGCCTGGAGATGTAAGCTCTTGCGGGGGTGGGGAGGGGAGAGGGGGCTTGGGCTTCTTGTCCTGTGTCTCTTGTGGCCCCTCAAGGTCCAGTGGGTGTTGTGCACACACCAGGTGCTCAGTGCATGCTGAGATGTCTGCCTCCCTCAGCGTGTGCTTGGAAGACTGAAGGTGGCATGGGGCTGAGGATGCAGGGAAGATGTTAACAGGAGGACTGAGTGGGGTGAATGGAGTCAGACAGGAAAGGGTTGGGCAGACTTGGCTTTGGGCTAGTTAATTCCCACCTCCTCTGGCCGGGAAGGTCTGCCACGTGACTCCTCACCTAGGGCAGACTCACTGACAGAGACAGACCCGAGGGGCACTCCTTTCTCCCTCTGCTCACTCGTCCCTGCTCAGGCTCACTGGTCAGCTTTAGTGCTCTTCCTGCCTCCAGTTGCTCCCTGATCCCACCACCCAGGA